TGTGTGTGTGTGTGTGTGTGTGTGTGTGCGCGTGTCAGTGCGTGTGTACATTTGTGTGTGTGTCTGTTTGTGCTGTGTTTATATATATATATATATGTGTGTGAGCCTGATAAAGTGTTTGTATTCCGAATGTTCTTTCTTGATCAGCATGAACTGTGCTTCCTCAGTACTAGGTGTGTTCAGCTCTAGATTCTTAACATTGTATTGAAGAGGGGGAACTACGCGGCCCATCCAGTTACTGAAGTGATCTTGCCTATTTAAACATATTCCTATCTCTGTGTCCATGTTCATGCTGTGTGTACCATCTTCCGCTTATATGTCTATTGCTTAAGCGTACTTGTACCTCACACGCTCGAGCCGAAGTATTGGTTGTCTGATTGCAAAACTATTTGCCCGTGTATACACACGTGGCACCCTATGTACTTGCGTCTAGAGTCCAGGTGCCTGCTTGAGCAGTTCATACCAAATATATAAGAGTGTTCCGAAGTGCTAAGCAAGTGCCTGTGGACGTCTGCGTTGATGCATACGCTGGAATGCCCTTGCTGTAGTACTACTAACACAGTGTACCCGCAGTTTCCTTTAAGCTGCGCTATTGAATACTCCTCAGTGCTCTGTGGAGGAATTCCTGACCCCACTCCAATGATAATCCTAATTCCTTCTCAGAGAGTTGGTGACACGAAAGTATATAAACACTCAGTCAGAGTCAGTTACACGCGCACAGACAGTTAGACTTACCGCTCCTATCGATAAATTGGTATCACTCCCAATTCTCAATCCTCGATTTGTTATATATTTACACAGTGGAGTGTGGGGCTGTGTGCGCTGGGTCTTGCAGCGGTTGGCTTCTTCTCTTCGCTTTGTGGAACAGTTCTTGTTCCTTATTTTGCGCAAGTACTCACTGCTGGTAAATAGTACACAGAGGTCTGGGCGCTCTGGGGCCTATAAATTTCCATTCCCGATTTTGTATTGAATCTTTTTCCGTATAAAACTGTACTGGTGTATTAAAAAAATGTATATATAGTCGCCGTCGCAACGTTTCTGTTGCTATGGGCCTCTCGGGACCTGGACTTTCCGCCCACAAAATTGGAACCCGTTCTTTGAAAACGGGTTTAGGACTTTGTTAGGATATTTAGCTCGTAACAAGTACCTTCTACGTTCGCATCTACTAGAGCGAGGCCATATTTTGTACTAAGTATCCTGAAATTTTAGGACTTAGTCCAACGGACGATTATTGGTCCCAAAGTATTCTTCATAAATGTTCCTGAAATTTTGCTGATTCGGTCTGAGTTGGCTGTATAGACACACGAGAGTTTCACTGTGCAAGACCCGCGCTTTTCCATTGGAAGTCGGAACTGATTTGAACGATGTTAAAAAAATTGAATTTCTTCGTTTTGTTGTCAAGACGATTTCCGTGCTATTCTTGTCCACCAATCATATCAGCTATACACCACAATTTATTTTTATATGAAACTTTTGTGTCGTAAAATAAATCCTCCGGTTGAAAAATACGAGACCCAGTCCAGAGCCTGAAGCACTCGGACGTATCTGTGGGCGAGGAAAGTAGAACTGTGTAACTTTCGTTCCACCGTCGTGTTGTATTTAGGACTTCCAATGATCCCCATTGGCAACAATAGTTATTATTATTATTCATTATACTGAACGTCTTGTGTAGGTTTCGGCTTTGTGGGGGAAAGCCTCTATTATTCCTGAATCGGAACGTCATCCACCAATATCTTCGTGTAAATACAATCACGAATTATCGTGGTTTTGGTATTAGATACCTCATATATCATTGTTATATCCACAAGGCATATTGAGCTTTATCAAAACTTTTTTAGCAACGTTGGCTGCCAACGGTGAGGAGTACCATTGTACTACATATGTAAGCTCCATACACACAGTTCACAAGAGCTATTGGGCTTGCATCTGTCACCTCAACTTATATCATCCTCATAGGTAGCATCAACACAGCTACTGTTCCCAACTCGCAAATTGTATGAGTATATAGACACAAAAAGTAACCATGGTCAAGCTTGGGAACGTTGCTGGGCTATTGATGTGCTCGCTAGCGTCGAGCGTTTCGGCACAGATACAGTTTACTACGGCATCAGTCACAGTTACATCGACGGACACGCAGCCGATCACAACTTCTACCACTACACAATTCACGGGTTTCCCGGCGACAGGCACAACAACTATCACAGTGTACGTTACGCGCATATTCAATCTTAAATTGTTGTTTGAAGGGTTTGCTGTATTGCTTTGCATGTAGTGAATGCGGGAGCATCTCACATAGAGTTCTCGCTGAATACTCTACATACACGAAGCTGAACGTTCGTTAATATGTATATAACTTTGCGCCTTGGCGAGCATACTCCATGTGTACATATAAGTAACATGGAGTATTGAGTTGTATATACACATATGTAATTATTATCATATATATTTATATATATATATATATATATATGTGTGTGTGTGCGTGTGTGTAGGTAGGTATGTATGTATATATGAAGATACCTACATGCATATACGTTTGTATATATATATATATATATTAGGTATGTGTGTATACATGTATATGTATATATATGTAGGTGTGTGTGTGTGTGTGTGTATGTATGTAAGCTTATGTATATGGAAATCATCCGATCGCGATAATACCGCACAATCTGAGATACAAGGTTTTAGTTTTCGTGAATGAATATAACACTGGGCAGTTGATAAGTGTAACTTGCGACTTCGGTTATAGAGTTATAGTAGGCTATTGACCGGCCCACACCTAGGTATATACTGGACTCACAAAGATATATGGCTGAAGGTACTTAGTATCCGTATATCCATACTTGTGATGGGGTGTTAGATATCGAATGTATCTGCACTGTCGTCTTTATTGCCATTTTGTGTCCCGATATACACAAATAAACCCATCTTTTACCTATTTCTGTATTTATCCAAACGTGTAGAAAGGGGCATCTTTTACCTAACTCTGTATTTGTCCAAACGTGTGTAAACCTATTTCTGTATTTGTCCAAATGTGTGTACACGTATTTCTACATTTGTCCAAACGTATAGACAGGTGCATCTTACACCTGTTTCTGCATTTGTCCTGTAATCACACAAGCCGTACTCGCACACAATCCGACCCATAGGTACTGTCTGTCATTTATTCTAGATGGTTGATGTATATCCATACGCATGCAAACTGTGCGTGCTATGTATTGAACCGTATGAGTACTACTCACGGTGCAACCTTAACAGGCCTAACTACACGCCCACATTCGTGCACGCATATGACAATATAACATTTGTTGCATTTTAGCGTTCCCTCCGGCATGCTAGTATATTGATAAGATGATGTTATAATATGCGATAGAAGTCTAGGTTGTATGCGATAGAAGTCTAGTTTAATGCGATATACGTCTAGGTTGTATGCAAAGGTCTAGGCTATTTGTGATATAAGTCTAGGCTATATGCGATTTAAGTCTGCGCTATATGCGATTTAAGTCTAGGCTATATACCATAGAAGTCTAGGCTATATACCATATAAGTCTAGGCTATATGCGAAGTCTAGGCTATATACCATAGAAGTCTAGGCTATATACCATAGAAGTCTAGGCTATATGCGATTTAAGTCTAGGCTATATGCGATGTCTAGGTTGTATGCGATATAAGTCTAGACTATATGCAATATAGGTCTAGGCTATATGCGATATAAGTCTAGGTTATATGTGATGTAATTCTAGATTATATGCGATATATGTCTGGGTTATATTCGATGTAAGTCTAGATTATATGCGATACAAGTCTATGTTATATGCGGTATAAATCTAGGTTATATGCGCTCGGTTCCCCATCATCTTAAACCACCGTCCCAACACTAACAAGAAAAGATAAGTATTTCAAACCGTACAATATAACATATACACACTTAGTCAGGTGACTGTGCACGCCGACTCACCCTAGCTAAACCTGATAAGTAGCAACCAAGCAAAGCACCTGCTAGTAGCAACCCATACTCATTCTCGTGTCCTATTTGACACGTACTGGACACGTCCCCAGGCGAAGTGTCGAGGGGGGGAGTTAATGGATTGAACCGCTTTTTCTTGTTTAATATCTGTACTCTAAAGGAGCCTTAGTGTAGATACCAGCCGCGAAGCGGCATCTTGCGGTTGCTGCATCTGTTGTCTGCATGGTTGGGAGTTGTAGTCAGAGATGTTGTTATGGTGTGGATGCAGTTGACAGTACTACCCACGGTAGGCTTTTGCTTATGCCGCGCTGGTTACTCTACTCACCTTCAGGTGAACACACGACAACTTCAATACGCCAAGAGTCGTAGGCCCGTTTTCCTTTCTTCCTGTGACTATCTCTTACCAATCACCCCCCTCAATTCTTGTTAACTTCTTGTTATTCAACCCCTCCACCCCACACACACACACACATCCACACACATACATATGCATATAAATGTATATATACATATCACACACACAAGCACACACTTCTTGTTTCTTCTCGTCCACAGATCTGGAACGTCTGTAACAGTCGTCGGCGGAGTAACATCAACAATCGTACAGGTGTGTGTCCGTGTTTATATGCAGCTTGTAAATGCAATCATTGGCTTCTACGTATACGTTTACGATACTCGTTGCACAAATAGAGAAACGATGCGTCTTCTGTAGCAAACCTCGATATGCGGTCGGTTGAAAAACGTAAATGAATGGCAGATACATATCCACACTGGGAATGTCGCGGGGGATATATAAACGTATTTCGCAGCGGATCCTGTGTTCGTAAACGTAAACGTGTCAGCTATGTTCGTAGGCGACAATTTGATATGAAGTCATCGAATTGTGTGCACGTCACACTGAGAAGAAGAGCTGTTGACAATACGGGCAGGATGTATCAGTACTCACAGCCGCAATGGCCCACCTCTCACAACACCACTAAAGTTCTGGGTCTAAAATAGACACATGGATAGTACCACACAGTACGTGTAACTAGGTACAAGTAACATCACATAGACACAGCCATTATATATTACATATACACAAAATTATACATATTACATGGACATACACAATATATATCCATACACAATTTATATTACATATACACATATACCATATATATTACATGGACATGCACAATACATATCACATAGACACATGAATAGTATATCTCAGTAGGTGCAAGCAAGTATGGGTCCCCGGGCTCCCAATCCGAATGCGTCAAGCTACTAAAGCGCGCTCTATTAACACCGTCTCATCAACTCTTGCGATGGGCTCAAAATAGAATATAAATGTATATATATATATATTCGTTCGTTCGTTCGTTTGCCTAGCGTCCAACCTCACGATTGCTTCACATTTTGAGACGGTAAGATGTCTCGAGCCCGCTTTACTTCTTGTTACGCGACACTTAAACCCTTACCCGCTAAAACCCTATACTCTAAATATGACATATATACCCCACAATTCTTGCTCCACCTGCCGCCACCCCTTTGTGTCCACACCTGCCATTCAATACCATCGTATTTAAACCGCCTACCGAACTCCTTTCCCCGCGCTCCCCCACTCCCTGTTCTATTTATAGAACACATTCCTGGGCCCTACCACCACCACCTCGACGTCGACCGAGTCTATCCTGGAGACAGTCGTAGTGACCGTCACCTCAGCCGCTCCCAGTCCAAACCCTTCAGTGATCCCCGTCCCCACGTGCGGATTTGCGAGCAACTGTGCGGTGGGAAAAACCATATGCGTATCCAACATCGCGCTGTGTGACCAGGGCGGATGTGAACCTGGTTTTTATGTCGATGGAGAGGATGAAGACAGTCCGGGTGTCTGTCGATGTAAGTAGATGGCAATGGGTTCTGGGTGCGTTCGCATGTATACACGTGTACCTGCTCACGCGTGTGTGGTAGATATATTTGGGTGTCGATGGTACAGACCCCAAAGTTAGTCTACGAGCTGTTAGGCCCATGCACGCGGCCGATGCCGATACACTAGCTCCGGAACTTTGCCTCGCTTGTCTTATGGCTCAAAACCTCACCATTTCCTCTTTAATTGGCTTATAGCGTGGTCTTATGGTTCATAATCTCACCTTTTCCTCTTTAATTGGCTTATAGCGTGGTCTTATGGTTCATAGTCTCACCCTTCCTCTTTAATTGGCTTATAGCGTGTGTCTTACGGTTAATATTCTCACCCCTTTTCTCCTTCAATTGGCTACTGTAGCGTGTGCGCAGTTTGATCTTCCTGGTGATAGCGGTACCACGTGTTTCGAATGTGACAGTGAGATGTGCATCGACTGTGGCGACGGCTTCTCCACTGACCCCGAAACGGGCATGTGCTTCTGTAAGTATACGTTCACTCGTCTGTATGTCGGATATCTATATAACTCATTCACAAACTAGCTGACTATCTAAATAACTGGTTGATATTCAAGGTGCTGTCTCGGTTACCCGCAATGCATATGCAATACGAAAGTAGTGTTTGTATTCGCTATACAGAGATAACTCCGAGCGTCTCTGCTGAGGTATAAAGCAGATTGGCGGGAGGGTTTGAGACGTCTTCGTTTAGTACTATATATATATATGTAGAAGCGCATCTCAATTCCACATTTGTTACTCAATCGATACCGAACTCTTTCGTCCTCACAGCCTGCAGTGAGTTTGGGTTACACTGCTCCAGTTGTACTGGAAGTCAGTGTATTGAATGTGAAACCGGGTCGTTCCTCGATCTGCGCGGACTGTGCAAAGGTACTGTTACTATCGTAGCGTACAGATACTGACTGGGTTGTAGGGTTAGAAGCCCTTAAACTAGCACTATCCTTAAGATTCATGCTTCAGATATATACTTTATTTTGTAACCCCTCTCATAATGTGCACGTTTCCAGAGTAGTTCCCTTGTACACGTTGATTCGCTCCAGAAAATGTGTGTGTTTTGGATGTGAGGTGTGGCAATCCATATGCTGTCTCTGTGTTCGGTTGTACCGAACCTTTCTATCGGCTGAATGAAACGTATCTCACTTCGTATGTAGCTAAAGAAGTAGCCGTGTGATGTGTCCTTCCTGCTATTCAATGTGCGTGTGCTCTCTGATCCCAATCAAGCCAACCTCGAGTTTGCTTCAGGTCTATGAAGCCGTCACACCACACTTTCCAATACTAACGTGCGTGATTCCTAATCCACCCAAGCCGTTAATCATACCCGTACCAAACGTTGTGAACACTAATACACCAACATCAATATCCGTTACACGTATCAAACTTTGTCAACACTTATACACCCCAACAATATCCTTTGCACGTACTGAACTTTGCAAACACTTGTCCGTCTGCAGAGTGCTCGCCCACACCTGCGTGTCAACAGAACAGCACGCTGTGCACAGACGGATCCTTCAGTTCGTGTCTGCAGGGCGAGTGTGACCCAGGCTTCTTCAACAGTATCCTTCTGCCTAACTCGACGTGTCTAGGTAGGTAGTATATGTACATGCATGTGTCTATGTATCTGTATCTGTATAACGCCATACAAGCTTTGTTTTGGTGTACACCCGTGTGTGGATGCTTCCATGTGTCTACAGTCGCTGGGGTAAAGCACTTCGTTGTACGATAGCGATGTCTTTCATTCTTACATAGTCATGCTGTCTCGATTTCTTATCTCCCATCACTCCATAGAACCCTAAACCCTAAACCCCTTCGCACATACAGCTTGTCGCCCGGCAACTGGATGCCGAGCCGGCTTTGAGCGGTGTTTGGGAGATGGCAATTCGAGTGTGTGTGTGACAGACCAGTGTCTGCCCTATTGGTAAGCATACGCTGTCTATGGCATGGGCTGTGAGAGGTGTATCTTTGTGCCACCCTTCTATCCTTAACTCTATCTCGTTGTTCTCTCTCTCTGTGTGTGTGTGTGTGTATTTTGTACACAGTCTGTGTATCTCTATCTCATTTAAACTATCAAGTGCAGCTATGTCGAACATCGTGTGTGTGTGTGTGTGTGTGCTTATGTATTTGTGTATATCTTGACACGGTGCATATAATGAGACGGGTATGTGTCCGTACAAGTGCGTGCGTGCGTGCGTGCGTGTCCGCTCTCAGATATGTCTCTTACATACATGTACGCAACACATACGCATCCGTTTGCAAACGGAGACACACCTCCTCCAACCTGCTCCTGAGGCAACCATTTCGGAAGCCACTTAGTTCTCTCACTCACTTCTATTTCTGTTTCTCATATTTTTTCTTCTCTGCCAGGTACAATTTGCTGAATTTCACCAACCCAGCACCCCCAGCCATCGATTCTGGGTCCGATCTGGCCGCAAATTCCACGTGCAGTCCATTAATTGTAACTTTTGAGACGGATTTGGGTGAGAGTTTCCTACTGGATGTCCAGGCCCAGATAGATTGGCTCGATTCTCTAGCTCAAGTCTTAGTGCCAGATCCCGATGCGTAAGTGATTGGAGGTCAACCGTGTGTGTACACGTGCCGGTCTATTGATAGTTCAACATGTGTGTGTACATGCACTTTCGGTAGTTTAAGGTGTTTGTGTATGTATGTATATTGCATCTGTATGTACTATTGATAGTAGGGTGTGTATGTATATCTTAAACCAGATTGCCTGTATCAGAGGACTCTGAACAAACACAATGCAATTACATAAACAACACACTTTAAATGTCATTTAAAGGTGCTACTGGCAGATCATGCTTACCCCACTGCCATCTTAACGCCCTCGTACACAACACACGGGATCCGTTCATCCGTTGCAACACAGCTTATTCCCATACCTGACATCTTACCCCGTTCGTTCATGCGCCGTAGTACTAACATGCCTCACCTGCTATCCTTCTGCTAATCCTGCTATATACAGTGGTGTGCGTACCCAGTTTCAGTACAGAATCTTCTACCGACGAATCTACCCGAACGAATACCGTAACAATCTCATTGACATCGGCCTGGAGCTCCCTACGTCTGACATTCAGGCAGTGCAGACTCTGTTTCTGCAGGTAGTAGAGATAGTGTGCATGTGTCTACCTCACGTCCACGTAGTGTAAATACGTAATAACATTTACGAACAATCAAGAGCCTGACTGTGTGTTTGGGACTAGTGGGGCTGAGTGAACTGCGTTGTGTTTATGTTTATGCATCCACCACTCAAAATGTATTTGGCTAGTTTTAGCCGCTGATGTGAATATCTCTTTTTCTACCTAACTATATATCACGCCACACATAATTTCTCGTGAGCAATTCCATATCCATCTGCTTGATACGTACGTATACCTCACACCGCCTACCATCCACTATCTACCATACTCACTCAATACCACAATACTACCCAACACCACCCCCTACTCACACAGAACGACGTCGCTCTCCGTCGCGTGGGTATCACATGTCTTGTGATCGGTGGTACGTATTTGGCTGTAGATGATCTGGATGATGAGCGTCCCTATGGCGCGTACCAGCGGCCGCTGTGTCTGGACTGTGTGGAAATACCGAACTGTGCCGTGCGTGTGTCTTGTGAGGGCAACAACCAGGTGTCCCAATGCGCTGCCTGTGAGGTGGGGTACTATCAGATCCCTGGAAAGGTACGAGTATGAATATGTATATGTATATGGTGGGAGGCGTATTTTGAGGAGGTGGAGTTGTAGGGATTTGGCAGAAAAATCCCCGCGAAACTTTAACAGTGAAACATATATATATATATATTGGACGACCGTTGCGGCGCTCTTTGAGAGCATTTTCTCGTACACCCATACCCAAATATACCCTTCCATTCACACCCATACACCCCACGCAGTACCGTGTCTCGGACCAGTGTGTGCCCTGTCCCGAGGCGTTCAAGTGCAACGAAGGCTTCTCGCGCTGCCCGCAGTTTGAAAGCGAACTACTCGAAGAGAGCCGCTGTGTGGACGGAGAGTGCCGCGACAGCTACTCCGGCGAGCCATCGCCTAACACCACGCTGCTCTCACAGTTCTATGTCAACACGTCGCCTATCCAGGAAGTGACGGTCACATGTGAACGTACGTAAGCCTTGCTGTTTGTTGTAGTGTGTTGTGTACGTTGTCCATGCTATATATATATTTATATATGTTAGTTTCTGATGTTAAATACATCCTGTTCAGCATCGTTGCTATAGGGGCGGCATGTGCGCTCTCTGTTTAATCGAGCGGCAGTGTGGGTTGGCCTTTTTGGGTTTCAGTCTCTCACTCCTTTCTAAATACCCCCTCACACATGCCTTGCTATCTACCCCCTCACCCAGCCTGCCCCACCTCGTACGGGTGCAAGAACAGAGAGTCCTCGCGTTGTACGCTGACCAACACGCCAGTGTTGGGTCAAGAGTTCAAACCTACGTTCACTGGTACCTGTTTGTCGGGCGCGTGTGAGAAGCCCTTCTACAACTATGTGGGCGACTGCCTGTCCAACAATGCGGGAAGTAAGTATACAGATTGTCGATTCTGTCTAGTATAGTATGATGCATGTGATCTGTGCATGTTATACATAATGCTACATTGCCTGTCCAACAATGCAGGAAGTAAGTATACAGATCGTCGATTCAGTCTAATATAGTATGCTGTATATGATCTGTGCCTGATCTGCGGGAAGTAGGTATCAATAATTACCCGGGTTTTGAATGTGTATACCGAATATTCTTTGTCTCCCGTCAATATCTGACTTTTAATCTGCACTTATTTACGCCAGCTACGGGCCGCAGTTGTTATCCCGAGGACACTTCGGCGTGTTTCTTGGCCAGTCTCTCGGTCCAAATCCCATACGACTGGGGCAATGTCACGGCAGAAGTCATCCAGGAGTTCGATGACCTATTCGCCTTAACATTCGGACTGCAGACAGGAAATCTGGACCGGTAGGTAGACTCCTCAATGCCCCATTGCCTGCACCCAGCCTGTGATGGTTTAGGGTTAGGGTTTTAGAGCACACTTGTCTATCCTCTGGATGTTTGAAAGCTTCCTTCGAACCGTTTAATCTGCTCGAGAATTGAAATCACTGACCACTGGCAGAGTACTGGCAACGTTCTCTCTATCAATGTATCTCCCCCTGCAATTCACAAGCATACAAAAAATACCTACTGTGGGTACACCCCCCCACCACACACACATACATACATACATACATATGAGAGACCAACCGCAGCCTTTAACTTTCCTACCGCTGCACACATACACACGACTAACGATAACCTTATACCAGTAGAACGAATTGGCGAACAATAGCATTATGCCAGCAATACACCAGTAACACGAATTGACTGACAATAACCTCGTACCAGCAATACACTAGTAGCACCAATTGACTAACAATAGCCTTGTGCCAGCAATACACCAGTAACACGAATTGACTAACAATAGCCTTGTATCAGCAATACACCAGGAGCACAAATATGTCGTTTTTCTTATCCACTACCCTGCCTCTCTTACATGTGCCTCACAGATAGCCCTTCTCCGCATACGCACCCACCTATAACAACCAGCCTAGTGCTCATATGACCCTTTTCCTCTCATGTGCTTACCCCGCCCAGGCACTTCCCTACACGCAGCCTATAGCTTAACCACCCCACACACATACACACATCTTCTCTGTACACTCATCACAGGTATCCCTTCTCCACCTACGTGCTGGGTATTCGCCAGAACAAGACGTCCGGCAACATTCTCGTGGACATGTTTGTGCCTGCGACGTCCGTCAATACCATTCTTCAGCGGGCCGTGGCAGAACCGGCCGACGAGGACCTAGCTCTTACAGGCGCCCAGATTATATCTACCTATTCCGACTGTGTGACGGCAGGTTACGATACAGTGCCACACCCCATCCAGCTGAGTAAGTGCGTGTTATGCCTGTCCACAGTAGGCTTTGAGGTATTTGTACCGAGTGAATACCCGTTATGAAAGACGTGTATTAGTGTATATGCTCTGTACCGTAGCCTGGTACGTAACCGCAAGCCTTTTACGCTACAAACACACCTCGTGTTGGTTTTGTTTATTTATTTTTGATGTGTCCCGTTATGTCCTCGTTTATAACGGTTTGTCTCCGATTGCCCAGTGCCATATACTCATCTATTTCATTCCTCTTTCTTAGTATCATCACTCTATCACCCTGTCCTGATTTATTTTGGGTTTTAGGGTTCTAATGATTTATTTCGATCCCTCCTTAATTGTCCGCAGACTGCGTGAAGATCGATAACTGCTTGTCCGGGAACACCACCTGTGATTGGGGCCCATATGCTGCTCGTTGTACCGAGTGTCAGCAGGGTTACTTCAACAATGCGAGCATAGGCTACTATCCAGACCAGTGTGTCGGTATGTTATACATAGATACTTGCATTGAATATGCGTTTTTGTATGTATTTATACATATATATATATATATATATGTTGCAAAATGTATATTTTTTTGGCACAGCTGTACATGCATGCGTGCTAGATATATATATAAGTCGTAATCGGACAATACTTCAGTGCATACAATGTTTGATAACAGTTCGGTGTATATAATAGTGATCTCGTTTAGTTGAGTGTCTGCTTACCATCATGATACAGTACCGAAATCGCCTAGGTTTTTCCTTGTCCTATTATCCGCACAACATCCCTAGGACCCTAAAACCCTAGCTGTCGATGGATACATGAACACATCAGGTCACGCGCCTGTCCCTGTGAACAGCCTCACTGATCCCAACTCATCCCGATACCTTAACTACTCTTTTTTGTTTGTTTGTTTGTTTTCTCCCTGTCCAATGGAAACAGCTTGTCCCACGGCCCGCAACTGTACCGACGCGGCGACAGACGGGTCGACCAACACTGTGTGCACCTGCCCCAGTGATTCACAGTGCTTGTCTGGGCAATGTGAGTATGGTTACTGGAACAACCCGCCACTGCCACTACTGGACTGTGGGTTCAATGATTCGTACTCCTGCTGGCCTGAGGTAAGTGGGACCGAACCATGGAGTGGGTGGGTGTAGAGGTACGAGAGTGGTGTGGGTGTGCACAGATAGGTGAGTCTTACACAGCCACTCCCGATCAGCAATGCACTGAGACGCGCAGACCCAATTTCTGGACAATCGGGTCCTGAATCTTGTGTGGGTGGGTGTGGACATGTATGTAGTTCATACACAGCCCTGCCCCGATTTCAGGCCAATTCGGTCCTAAATACCTAGTGTTATTCCAATTTGCGTCGATTTCTACCCTTCTCGTTTCTGTTATTCATCGAAGCAATCCCAAATATATTTATATCTCTCCTATATTATATAGACCACACTACGCAAGGCATCCAGGGGTCACCTGGCAGTCAGTCAGCCGGTGCTGTCGAATGTAGCGCTGTCCTTTTTGGATCCCGCCAGTTCGGATCTGTATTCGGCCGAGTTGTACGGTCTCAGACGAACCGATCCTTTCCACACCTGTCCAGAATACGGTAAGTGGGGACTCTTGTTCCCGATGTAGTAAACACCTTGTGTGGTGCTTTAGGTACAAGTTTCGATAGGTGTACTGTTTCGTGGGGATGTGGGTGAGCTCTGGTGTTCTTTCTAGCGTCCATCCCTCACATCACTTCCGTACCGAGCCGTTGCTCTACTACCATACGCCTCTAGGTGTTATACGTCTCTAGCTATGTACCCCTCTAGGTGTTTTAAGTGACTTCCCATGCGCTTGATGCCTACCAATCCATCCAGGCGTGAATGAACCCGCCAGCAAGAGAGACCGCATGAGTGGCTATAATGTGGGATACTGGAATTTCAACGCCACCGGCCAATTCTGGGCCGACTACAACAACCGAGCCATTTTCGAGCTACAAAAAGACGATAAATGGACCAAAACTTGTGGACCCCGCCCCGAACCCAAGAATTCGTCCTATTGTAGACGTAAGTGTCACTCGCCGTTTCGGGATTTGGGTTTAATGCATTTTGGCGTGGGGTCTATGGAACTATGAAAAATTTGTAGGTGTGTGTGTATGGGCGAGTTCTGGAGGTTCCTGTAGTACTCTATGCCACCTGTGTGAATACGCTGACATATATATATATATATTGTGTGAATGGTGTATGGTGTGAGCACATGTGCAGGAAGTTCTATGCGCACACTATAACTGACCTATTTTTGACATCGAACCAGGTGTTAAAGAAGCCATCTGGTTGTATATATATATGCATGTTGTGTTGGCTAGTTGTGTACTTTCACTGATTTCAAAGTTGAACAGTGGCGGATACGCTGACAAGTCTTGCACTGCCATAACTTCGCTTGAATGGGCGAGATTACTACTTAGCTCTTCCACTACCATACACACGTATACATATATTTATATATGTGTGTGTGTTGATACATCCTACTTCTTCAAAATTGCAGGGTGGACTGAATGCGAGGATGGCGAGTACGAGAGTGTCCGACCAACGGCGATCAACGATCGCCGTTGCGAAACCTGCACCGAATGCGACTACTCACTTCAGTACCGTGCCCAAAACTGCACTCAATTCCTCGATACTATCTGGTATGTTCTTATTTCAGCTTTTGTTTGTATTCGGCGAAGAGATTATGCCAGACTCGGCAGAGAGGCACAGTATCAATATACAGACGCACGAGCTAGCAGAATGCCCCACCTGAGTAGCGTGCATGCGTATGGCTTTCCCTTGGGGTAGCCACCTGCCGTATCCGCAATCTCAATTGGAGTGTACAACTTCTCAACCGTCACTCACAGCAGCTATGCTCAACTCGCCCACAGTACTAGCTGCAACCACCATCGGTGTATCCACATCCACTATTTTTTCCCGCATGTTCCCCACAGTATCAACTGCATACAGGCGTGTGATTGTCCCGTGGGTACGTGGTTGTCCTGTCCCTGTACGGGTGCGGCACAGGGTGTGTGCTCGGACTGTACCATCTTCGACACCAACTGCGCAACGCCCTACTGTGTGAACGGTGCGGAAACCGAATGTCTGTTCTGCAATGACGACTACTATCTCAACCAGACCCAAAAGTATGTGAAGTGGTCCAAAACAAATGCGTACAGGCCCAAATGTAGGGGGAAATCCCAAAATGCTGTGCTCGAACGCGAACATTTTGGGCGTACTTAAGTGGTAGACGTAATAAGAAGAGGGATAGACACTCTACTAGAGCTATACGCACGCTTCGGCATATGAACGTGACCCGCACTATTCTTTGCTACTTTAGAACACTTCCAGAAATATATGTGCTATTATTAGAATGCTTATTCTCTCTAGATAGAAATCTCTCAGATGTATATGTATACTTATTCATATTTTCTTATTCTCATACTTATACTTGTACATATACATATATATATTCTTGGACAGACTTCTGTAGCTCACCCCATACACTCTACCTACATCACAGCCTGTGTGTCGCCTGCTCTGTGTCGGCGTGCGGCACGCAGGAGTATCTTCAGGAGTGCACGGATTATGAAGATTCTGCCTGTCTGGACTGTCCAAGACCGGAACATTGCGCGAATACAAGCACATGGGAATGTACAGGCCCTCGCGATACCTATTGTGAAGTGGGAGGCTGTGTGGACGGCTACAGCAATAACGATGAGGAGCGTACATGTGTTGGTAAGTGTGCTATGTGATATAAATAGCTATACATAGAAACAGTGTACGTGCATGCCTATGCATTTCGGTACACATACGTGCTGATACGCATATATAATATATACGCTGTCCCCTCAGTCGATGGTACCACGTGTGCTGAGTTGTCCCACTGCATTGGTGCCCAATTGGTCAGTCACATAAACTTTAAACCCATACGCGTATGCATATGCATAGTTCCATATATATGTATATATCCAGGCATTTCGGTACATACACACACTGATACTCTTACACACACTGTCCCCTCAGTCGACGGCACGGCGTACAATGAGCTGTTCTATTTTAAGGGTGTCCAATTGGTAGACGATCCTGACGCAAAGGCAACGAAAGATACGGACGACGGCCTGTTTGACGACAACAACAACGAGCCCGATGTCTACGTGGACGGTATGTGAGGAACTGTTCAACCCGGAAAACGTATTGCATATGTGTGATGTGTGTGGGATATATCGTATAGTTTGCAGTTAAAATATTACTCGTATCACTTGTCGTACGTAAAGCATGGAGCGTGTATGTATCTTTCATGACTTTGTGTATGCGGTTCTGCTCAGTACGCCTGCGGCGCGCATACGTGAGTGAGTTCGAGTTACTTGCTGTTGACAGAGTATCACCTCATCTTCTGCCTGCTGCTTATCTCTCTTGAAGGTAGTAGGGAGTCTATGTTCGATTTACTGTGCATTTTTATCTCTCCCGACATGAGACTTGTAGGTAGTAGGGGTCAATGGTATGTTTCACCAAAGGTTTTCTGTCAGGTGCTCTCGTGATACTTAAGTCATGGTATTATATATAATGTATTTAACATTTTGAATCCCCATTTACAAATGCTTGAGGTTCAGTTTTCGAACTCCCTTTCAGGTCTCAGTTTCTTAAATTTCATCTCATGCATTCAAAAAAAAATGGTATACATGCCTAATTCTCTGCTGTATCCTCCGTATTCTGGCACTTGCTACGACTTCGAAACAACCTTAAACAGTTGACGGACAAAAGATAAAAATAAAACGAAGGGAAGCCGACCAAAGCCTTGAGACCAAAGGGAAAGGGCAACGGGAAACGGATGAACAATCGGATAAACAGACCGCGAAAAAAACGGTGAAAGAGGATTGATGAGTGAACACTGATCCAGCTGAAACTAGTCATCGAATTAGATATGATTGGACTATGAATTGGTTGTATTGGTTGTAAACTGATCACTGAACTAGTCATACCAAGTAGAGAAACATTGAACAGGACCATATACCCAAATGTGCCAGGGGCACCCACACATACAAACATACAAACATACAAACCACATGAGCTTGTTACGCTACCCCTGGCCAGAATTCTAGCACACGCGGCGAGTGGTAGTGATGTGCTGTTAAAGTGGATATATATACACGCGGCGAGTGGTAGTGATGTGCTGTTAAAGTGGATATATATACACACTCGTTTATATACAAATGCGTGTGTGTATGTATGTATATATGTATTATGTATAGTCGTATGGATGTACGACGCACGCTGCAGGTATCTATCTGCGTGTGTCCGATTGGTACATGAAACCGAATGCTTATAATGAATGCCCCGAGCGTGGGCCTGGTGGCCTACACCGGATGAAAGAAAGTGAGAGAGTCAGTCGAAGACCACAGAACACTGCAGAGAGTCTGAAATTGAAATGAAATAAAGGAGAGTGAACGTATGTATCTGTTTAATATCGAGGAATAGTACATATTTAAGCTCTGAAATAACTGGTATATATCTCGAGTACTCCCAAAATGAATTGTACCGAACATTTCCATAGCAGAAAATGGAACAACATTTCCCTTTCTATTTCAACTGTTTTGTTTTGTAAAAAAAGCAATCAAGCCACAGTGACGGGTGATCTGTGGCCCGCGAGACCGTGACCAGTGAACACACTAGCGTTTTCCGATTTTATTAAAAACCTTCATTACGTTTTGCGTTAGAACGTAAAAAATCAGTACACTTTTCAGGTTTACGTTTAGCATGTCAAGACCCCCCCCTTCTCTCTCTCTAGTAGAGAGAAATAATAATATAAATAGTATGTAGGGCCATCAAGATGGCCATGCTTTAGTTTAGTCTGTTACTATTTATTTGGGTGCATTATTTGGGCTCTTAGGTGCAATAAGTGATAGGTTTTGGCTCACATAGTCCAACTGGTCTAGTAGGTCGGCCCATTGCTTCCCCACATATACGGTATAACGTTTTAAAAGATATTGAACCTAAATACGTTTACGTTCAACGTGTACGCTACACTACCATAAATAACGACATAACCAAATGTGGTTTTTTTGCAGTTGTGATCTTCATGTTATCAGGACGTATATTACTAAATAGTAAACGAACCTGTACGTTTGTGTAAGCAGAGCTACAGACTTTGTATCTGTATTATATATACACATACATACATACGCACATACGCACATTCGCGAAAAATCCAAGTATGCCTCTTGGTTTCGGAGAGATCGTTATCATTGGTTGCGTTGGCGCTACGGTGCTAATCGGTAAGTCAATCGCCACTCCGTTACTTTAGCTACATTCAAATTATGTGAAAGTGGTGTGGACATGTACCATCCTTATACTTGTTACAGATGTACTCGGATCATCAGAAGCGTACACCGTGATTGAAACGAATTACTGTACTCGATATTGTCAAAGCAGTGTGTATACATATGTTGCTTGCTCTCGACTTGGCGGCATACGGAACGACTGGATGGTCCTTAAAGATTGGGGCGAATTGTTGTACGTAAAACTGTTGCGGGGTTGGAGATACATACCCAGGTGTTGTACACGTGACGTTCACATATATTAACAGAGAATGGGCATACGTAAGCTGTTGTAGGGTCCAAAATGTTGTACATATGCTCGCACTTGCACATACCATACATATCTTCCTTCGCATGCACTCCTTCACATAGCTGTTGAGCACCTCTAATGGATAGGTGTGTATGCACTAGTGTCCTGTCACCTCCGTCTTATAATGGCGTGACACCGTTCTTGATTGCAGTCGAATAAGTTTCTTAATTAGCGAATCACTCGTTTAGAATCGGTATTATGTGCTCGGTATTAGGCATACTTTGTTTACCTCCGCTGTTTGTACGTATTCATCGTCTATCTGATTGAGTTTAGATACTGATCCGTGGTAGTAGTGTGCTCGGTATATTATATATATATATACCCGTATACACATATACATGCAATTGTACATTAACCATGTCCGACGTAGTGTCTGTAGTTGTTGTGTGTGTTGGAAGGTCTCGTCATCCGACCATATGATCCGTCTACAGGTGCACATATGCTATATCAATCGTTATTTCGTGTGTGTTTGCCTTACTATGTACGTGTGACTGGTGAATGCCACAGTGTGTATTAGATTCACAAAGAGGCGTATATATACCTGTAGAAGGCATAGGGTGCGTAGATAGACGCAAGAGAATAAAATGAGTATCTCGGGTCTATATTAAACCACAGTTCTCACCCTAGTGTATAACAGGATTCAATGCATGTGTGCGTGTATGTGTATGTATGTATGTCCTTGCTTTGGTTTCTAAGGTCTGTTGTATATGCAACTATGAGCAAGGCTAAGCGCCTATAACTATTCATGCGCGCAACAGTCGATGTCAATTGATCACGAGTCTCCTGAATTATCTATATTGAACCATTTTGAAGTCTCGGTTTTTAATCGCGCTCTCTCAAGTACTGGTGAGTAGGTATATATGTACGTTCATGTCCTCAAATGGTGTGATATATACGTATACTTGACGAGGTTTTTATACGTCCATTGTTCGCATTTTACCTCAGCCTGATACGGTTCTAAAGCTGGCGATTATCTGACGGGAATGTGCACCTTCAAATTGGCTGTGTATGCACCATGTTGAAATAGCAAACTTCGGTCCTAAATATACATTATTATATTATATTTCTATATTTATATTTATATATTTATACATTTAGTGTATATATATATATATATATTATTATATTTGTTATTATTTTTATTATTATCATCATTGTATATATCTCTGATTTCAACGCGCAAGTCCGAATTAGTTTGATACCCAGTCACGTCTATACGACTTGGTACCTCGACCGACTTCTGTGTCCAGCACTTCTGTGTACATCATGCGTTCGCACTCCGTCAGCTTAGATACAGGTTTCTCTGATATGGTGTAGATGCTTATGTTCACTGTCTATACCCCAGTATTATCGCCAATTACATACCCAGCCAATCCCAAAATGGCACATCAAAATATATATCTGTATTGATTCGGGGTCGAAGGCGGTCATCCTGCGTTCAGCAGAAACGAACAATGTTAAACCCAAACATATAACCAGTCAGTGCCAAAACCTAATTCCGGCCCTAATTTCCATACAACCAGGACCCAAAAAGGTCATCCCACGCCTAGCCGAGACAATCAAGATGGCCCGACAAGCCATGGCCGAGGCTTCCAAGGAAGGTGCGGCAGAGAATGCGATCCAGAAGTCCAACGCGTTTAAGACACCCACCCCCCCTCCCGGAGGACCCACCCCCCAGCCACCGCAGCCACCCCCACAAGTACCACAAACACCCCCACGCCACAGCCACCCCAGCCACCGTCTAACCCGCAACCACCCACACCCCCCACCATCCCTAATGAAGTACCTGGGCCCAAGGACTTTCCTCCGCCTAAGGGTGTGTGAGGAATGAAGGACATGAACGAGGGTTCTAGTCTGTAGGTAATCTGCTGGAGGGTTGGATGATATGAAGGTGGTTTGTAGGCCATTGGTGGTCTGGTGCGCATGCTGGTGTCTGTAGCGCGAAGTGTTCGGAATGAGGTTCTTAGGTGTCGATAACTATATATATTTGTTTGTCTAAGGGTGTATACACATCTGCTTCCATGATTTCTTAACTGTCAGAGGTTATTGGAGAAGTCTATTTTCGTAGTTCGAAACTTGAGCAGGGTGGGTGTAAATCGATACGTTGGCGTCGACGAAGGCATATGATGTCACTCACATAGATCTCCTTGAGTGAATGTTAAGAGACTTGGCATAACCGCCACACATCTCCTTTATACATAGACGCGTAAATGTGTATTGCACCATTTATATATACATGCATATATATATATATATATACATGCATATATATATATGTATGTATGTATGTATGTATATGTATGTATGTATATGTGTATTTCATATATATATATATAGTGTATTTTCTACACGTCGGACGTCTCGTGTAGTGCAACCACATGACACATGTATGGCTCAAGACCACTATGTCGTATCATCCGGAATACATCATATATCGAAATCAATTCATAGCGCTGGCTGGCGACAGCGCCAACTTCCTTAAACTGGACTGTAGTCTATAAATAAAGGCATTTATAACCTATGCTGAAGGACGCATCTAGAATTTATATAAATTACGAAAAAATATAGTCACAGAACTGCACATTACGGTTTGTATAATGTGTATGCCGTCCATATGGGAAGGTTGTTTTTGTTGTTGTTTTTTAAATAAGAAGCCCATGGCACCTGGCCTCTCTAGACTAGAGAGAGAGTGGTAAATTCATCATGAATATTTACGTCTCAACCCTTCACCGTAATATTCTCATGGAAATTAGGCTTGTCTTTTTAATCAATGTTTCCTTATTACAACCTATATCTTAACTGAACAATTTGATTCTTAAAACAACCAAGAGACTGTGCCCCCATCGTCTGACAATGGATTCGTCAGCTCGCTCTTTATGTATGCAAGGCATTTGCAAGCATGAAATATGTACACTTTTTTTTATTTGTTGATTAGAACTCGTCGATTATTAGACTGTGGCGGCAGAATTCAGGGATTGCTCCACTCGTCTAATCTAAATCCCCCAAAAGTAAACGTCGCTGTTTCTGACAACTCATTTTGGGAAGCGGGGTTGGGTTGTCCTCCCCTCATTCACCCATAGATGTAAATATACATCACAAATATAATTATACAATATCTGCGTACATATATACATGTTGACTACTTATTGTTGCTTGCACTCTTCGGGGGTATCCTTCTTGGGTTCGTAGTCGCCATCATTCTCCTCGTCATCTTCGTCGTCAAAATCACCATCGTCGTCATCCTCATAGTCGTCTTCATCGTCGTCATCGGAATAGTCCTCCTGCACAAAGGAAACGGCCATTTATCAGAGAACATCTAATATAACAAGTGAACAAGCACCGAGATACACGGAAACGGGCAGTTACGAGAATATCTTAAGTGATAACTTATCCAACGGTCACTTTCCATTCACCAGATAATACTAGTGATAGTACAATCAATCGGTAGATTTAGCGCGTGGTGGATAACAAAATTACCACGTACTCTTTTTATAAGTACAGCTATGGCGCGTCGAGCATTGTCTTAGAGATTTACTTTTAGTGCCAGAAGCTTGGAATATACATTTAGTAACAGCGTCAACGTACATACATCTGGGGTGCATTAATCGAGTATTATATACAAACAAAACACGATCCACGAATGAACGGCCGATAAGTACTATACAGATATATTCATTCGACAGATACCCGGTATAGACACCTTCTATCAATTGATAAGTGTGAATAGTTTGCGCCGGATATCAAAATTTATGTTTGACATGGCACATTGACACGAGGCATGAAAGTAGAAGCCTTCTAACGTACGTAGGCCATTTGCACCGTAAAAAATATTTCTCTCACAGGTAATATCGTATATGAATCAGACATCCGTTTCAACATACAATCGACATGCAGCATACAAATCTAATTGCTTAGATGCTTATAAACGTGAAAATCCATACAAAAGTGCGAAAGTGTAATCTGATACGATTGATCACACATGTAATGTGTTTCTTACCAAAAAATATAAATAAATGAACAATAAATACACGAAGAAAGTAATATCATTCAATTTCAATGAGCAACAACAATGATGAGCACAATAGAATCATCTACAGATACTAAATATGGAGACTACTTTACAAAACGTATATGAATATGAGCAAAGGCAAAAAAAGCAGCCCTCCCCATATATCAGTCAAATTTACTATGCTTACTAAATACACATATATATACAAGTATGTATACATTCGAAACACGTACGTATGAAATATGTATGAACAAATACAGGAGGTGCGAGTATTTGCGACTCGCCATATGATAACGACTTGTATCATGTTGAATTATATGTATAAATATATATCTCCTGTAAAGAACTCTGAAGAATTGCGATACTTCCAGAAGTGCTACTAATCAACATACATAATGATATACGAACATTACTAGAAATATGTACATATATATATATATATATATATATGTGTATATATATATACAAATATACATATATATATATATATATATCTACATATGTATATATATACATATATCCTTACATACATACATATATACATATATATATATACCTATCTATATATATATATATATATATATATCTACATATGTATATATATACATATATCCTTACATACATACATATATACATATATATATATACCTATCTATATATATATATATGTATATATATATATGCTTATTTATATCATATATACATACATGTATATATATATATATATATATATATACACGTATGATTTAGATATGATATATGTATAGATATGCGTATACATATAAAAATATAAATATATATATATATAATGCATATTACATGTTCATATTCGTATATATATATACATGCATCTACGTACACAAATACATAAACATGTATGTATGTATGTATATATATATATATATATATGATTTAGATATGATATATGTATAGATATGCGTAAACATATATATATATATATATATATATATAAATATATATAAATATGTACACATATATATGATTGTATATATAATAAAAATATATAATATAATGTAATATATTATATATATATATATATATATATATAAATGTGTGTGTGTGTGTGTGTGTGTATGTACATGTTATATATATATTTATATAATTTGTGTGAGAGTATTCATATATATATATATAGTCATATACATATGTATATATATATATGTGTGTGTGTGCGTGTGTGTGTGTATTTATACATGTGTTTATGTACATATATATACCTATATATATATATGTGTGTGTGAGTGTGTGTGTGTGTGTGTGCGTGCGTGCGAACATATTTGCATATATGATCTATGATTATTGCTATTGCTATTGTTATTGACCACTTACCAATGCCTCGCCAGTGAACCAGAACACGGCCCTTGGGATGATCTCGTCTTTAATAGTCTCGCCCAACTCATAGTCAGCCTCTAACCGCTCACTGATTTCCTCCGCTGCCTCCTGATCTGCATCAATATCCTCTTCCGATGGCATCTCGGGGGGTGAGAAGAAGTTGAAGAAACTCTCGCGAGGTTCGGTACTCGTTTTCATACGGATCTGTCCGCTGGCTTTGTGTCTTTGCTTCTTGCTCTTGGTGGTTACACACAAGTTCTTCTCGGCCGATTTCCAGTCAATGACGGTGCCCTCTGCGCGCTCGAACATCAACTCTGTGCTGGTGCCGTCATCGCTGAGGTGATATGTCTTGATAAGTTCCGTGTTGGTAAAGTACTCGTTGGGTTCGAATTTGAACACTAGTTTAAAACCAAATTCACCCTCGGCTAAGTACTCGTACGTAACATCCACCAACGACTCCAGACATTCCCGATCTTGTTCTTCAATCATATTGTCGATATCCGGGTTACACTGCATTGCGGTCAACCAGAACGCAGGGATGCCCTTGACATCGATCTCGTCTAAAGCATCCTGTGCTTCTTTGTCACCTTCACTATCCAGGTCAACAACCTTGTCCTCGTCTTCTTCATCGCTCTCCTCATCGCTGTCGACGTAGTTGCACTCCTCCTCAGTAGGCTCGTAATCACCGGTCACGATCTTCGATCGGCGTGTGTACAGTGGTTCGTTCAGTGTCAAGAACTTACGCTCCAACGCTAGCAACTCCTGGTTAAACTGGCGCTGTAGGGCCTGGTGCTCGCGGTTGATGTTCTTGAGTGCTTTTACACGGTTTTGGATAGGCTTGGGAAGTGATTCAACATACCCTGAACCCTTACCAGTAAGACCTTCCATGCGACGCTGTAGCTGTGCCATCAGCTCAGGATTTTGCATCATGGCCTGAATAGTTTCCTGATCGAATCCTTTACCTCCAGACATGTTTGAGCGATCGTCGTTCTATTCACGATATGTATACGTTCAATAGTATTTGAAGAATAAATGCCGTATGTAGCGCGAGGAAAAATATGCCAGAGGCGTTGATCTGTGCTGTACATTAATATTCTACTACCAAAACTGTAGTACTTCTTTTCGTGACCATAATATTCGTCATGTCAATACTGTGAAATACACGCACAAGTGGGGAATAGACCATGTGCAATAATTCTATTGATTCATCAATCGAATCGGAATCGGAATCGGAATCGGAATCGGATCGAACCTGTAGGACAAGCGTATAACTGGTAATTTTTTTGCAGCCTCCTCAATTTATTATATTTCGAGTACATAGTTCCAAATTTAATATATTTTGCATTTATTTTTGGATATCTAAGTTTCAGATTTGAATATTGAAGTTCCAGATTCCTGAGTTGGAACACATTTGTTTCGTGAATCACGAACATATTTTCGTGTCCAAGGGTAGCTCCAAATTTCCAGAATTTAAACATATTCTGAAATTTAAATTTCCCATAGCCTCCTGAAAATAGAACAAATTTCCAGTACTTGAACGTATCTTGTGATGAGGTTCAAATTTTCTTGGATACATATTATATTCAATATATATATACGTAACTTGACATAGCCTTCTCAAATAAAACAAAACTTGATACATATTTACGCCGTTTCCCGTTTGAAAAAGAAAAAAAAATATTTGAAAATGTATTTTTAAAAGCGTTTCCGTTCGAGAGAGCCTATTCACTGCATATTTATAAATAGCAGCAGGGTAGTAAATTATCTTTTTTTTTGTAAAAACAAAAACAAAATAAACAGTCGTTTCCGTTCGCCCCCGACCCCGAGTCCCGTGACCCCCCCCCCCTCCTGTTGCTGCTTTTTTTTTGTATTTTTTGTATAAAATTAAAAAGGAACACTCTCCCCCACCCCTCGGAGTCGGCCCTCGGGCCTCGGGTGACGGACTAACGAGTCTTCGAGACCAGTCGGCAGTCAGTGAGTCAGAGTGTCGACACTTGATGACTCAACAGTCGACACTTGGGCCTCTATTTATAGTTGGTCAGGTGCTCTCTTTGTATAGCCAAGGTATTTTGCGGTAGTGCTGCAAGCAGCTCGTATAAAGTCACTTATGGCTACCATATCTGCAAGCTAGTGCTGCTTCGAGGTGTATCTGCAGTAAGAGTCTCGTAACCGTGATTGAAACTGCGGAGCGACTCGCGCTGTGCGGCAGCAATTATTAGGTATTAGAGCAGTATGGTAATAAATTATCAGTACTATGTGATTATTGGGTATCAGAACAATAGTTGATAAAGTACTTGCGCAAACCGACGTTGTTCCTGCGTATGATCACACTATATCGGTGAAATTATAGAGTACTTGCGCACTCTGTGGTTGAATTCAAGACCATTAAAGGTTGATAGAGCATAGAGTGGCTTGATGTCGAGCTCGTACATCTATATTAACATCGAATCGTGCGAGTACTTTGTTTTGCGTATTTACTATTTCGCGGTTGGTGTAGTCTAAATTTTTGAGTTTGATTCACAGTATGCAGTGTGTTTCAATCGTTGTTTCTGTCAAATCTTGTAATCAACGTTGTTTGAACTTGTTTATCATACTTTTTATGTACCTCGTAGGCTAATAATGTTACAATTCATATTTGTTTGAACTTGTTCGAATTTATTCTATTTACATGTATCTTCTCTTTGTCTTTACTTTCTCTTTCTCTTTCTCAGTACCTCTCTTGGTTTTCTCTTTCTCTTTCCCGGTACCTATCTTGGCTTTCTCTTTCTCTGTACTTGTCTTGACTTTACTTTCTCTTTGACTTTGACTTTTACTATTTTGACTGTTTCTTTTGTATGCTTCTATATGCCCCTGTGCTGCGTCGCCGCCTTCGCATGTTGTGTTGGCGCCTCCGTATGTATCGATATATACTATACATCAGGGTTTATCAGCTATACTATGGTGAGCCTCGAACCATATACTAACTAGTCGGGACGCTTTACGCTACCAGAGCAGCTGATTCGACCTCGACCGCGAGCACAGACTTGTTCCTACTGACAGTGTCATCGATAACATTCTGCAGACAGTTTCTACTACATACACGCCTTAAAGCCCATCTATCTGGTTTGGATTTGTATGCAATATCTGTGTACTGTATGAACTTCTTCTCGCACCAATCGCAGTCCCGTGCGTCTTTTAAACAGTTCTTCAGATCCGGAAAGAGCATGCTGGTGTCTTCACACCCAAGTGATACAGGTTTCTTCAGATGATACGCGACAGTCCGTGCAGCCAACTCCTTCAGACTGAATGCAGTCTTACATTCCCCAAGATCAATGTAACAGGAGCCCTCGGTACCCCTTGCTAGTTGTTCCAGCAGAGCATTAGACTTCTCGTAGAACCGCAGATCCTGGTCGTGTCGGCGTTTGAATGTGAACAGCATAGGTAGAAAATCCTTTGTTTTCAGTAGAATCTCTCGGTTTTCTTCTACATCTATGATAACATTAAAGAGGAATGAACATGCACTCGATTGTACCTCAATGGAGTCAAAATGCTTGCTCATTGCCGCTAGAGCCAGAGCTATAGTGTCCCCCCCCATCGCCACAGCGACGCGGTTGGTCTTCAGGAAAGACAAGTTTCGCATCACACCTAGACCGTAGTTCTGCATGACCACATTTGAGGGAAAGTGTCGCATTGCTGCGAGCACAACATCCAAGGCTTTCATCTTCACAATCTTTGCCGTGCAATCTATACTACAAGCAAGGTTTTGGATCGCTCCACACCCCCATTTCTGGAGTTCGGTATCGAAGGGGAATCGCTTCATGGCGTCTAGAATCAGCTGGATTCCGCCATCTGAATCTACTACACATCTATTCGCGTCTACCAGCCATGTGACGTTCTGAATCAACATAAACCCGGCCGCTTGTAACGAGGGATTGTTTGGCATGTTCCTCATCGCCTTGCAGACGAGAGGCACAACGTCTAGTTGCTGTACGATGTATTGCTGGTTGTCAGCTCGGTGGAAGGTAAGAGATCTGTACACCATGTAGCAGTTGCGTTGAATGACCGCATCGCGTGGATTCTGCACCATCACATCCTTTATAAGCTGGGGTACATGTAAATTAGTCGCCATCTCTATCGCAACAGCATCTCCTTTTGTTACCTGGCGCATACACACAAGCGACTGGTTAATGAGGAGCATGGCTCTGTCTTCCAGTGCGACGCGTAGTATCTCACTGATGGGACGCACCGCACGGGACAGGGCCGTACTCTGCCGCTCCGACTTGGACATGGTAGCCAATTCTTCTTCACTCTCAATTTGCACTTGGAATCTGCACAGACACTCCAGCACCTCGTTTGGTTCCATCTCCTTCCAGGCCGCCAGGGAGTCCAGTATGGATGTGAGCGATCTATTTTTAGGATTCAACCATCTCGAACTGGCTGTCAATCGGTTGTGTGAGTTGCTACTGCTACTCGCGTACCGGGCTGAGCCAGAGCGACCGTCCCCAACATGCCTGCTGCTGCTGCTGCCTGTACTACTACCACTGCCATCGCGTATATTAGCCAGGAGTTGTGTTACTCGGCGTTTGAGTGTGGGGCGTTCAGTGCGATCGGACGATCTACTGCGAGTGCGCGTGCGCGTGCTTCTGCCCGTGATACCATCGATTCCATCATTTACATTTAGGTTGCTGCCTGAGAATGCCGTCGCGATGTCGTGAGCATCGTTGTTGATAGCATCCGTTGTATTGTTGAGGTTGTTGCTGCGCTGACTCCTGTGCATGTCTTACTGAGCGTTTATTCAAAACTCGGATTTCTTGATGTGAGATCTAAGTGTTTTCTGTGTTCTGCTGTGAAATGTAGCGTTTAGTAATCAAACCAAGTACGTTTTATATGAATTTTGCCAACCTTGTTCGTGGGTAAGCTGTGGTGTCGATTGCTATTAGACTACTTGTATAGTGTATTCGCTAGAGAACTCTATATTCTAAAACGAACGTGAGTGATATTGATCGTGCTGCGCGTCTGGTATTTATACGACAGTTGATAACATGGCACCGGCGTTTTTGTTTATCACTTTATGAATTCTTCCTCATAGTACAGCGCTTTGTAAAAGCTGTTTTTTAAAGTGCCAGCCTATGAGTATCTGATCGTTATCAGCCAGTTATCAGGATCGTCTCTTTTTTTATGTACACGGTTCGCTTGACCCGACGGCTTAGTTTTACAGAAGAACGTTGTTACATTGGACATTTCAATGTTTTGTACAAGTTATACGCCATGTTCTATGTACCACATTTTATTCTCGTGTTTCGTGATGAAGGGAGTGATATGGTTGATATCATTTGCAAAAATGATATGCGGTACTTTGAATATCTGTATGTGCCGACAATCAAGTTTAAATTTGAATACTTTAAAGCCAATTAAATATGCCTTATTTGGCGGTTTATCTGTACACGAATAATATTACTATATATAATCTTAACTTACCAATAATAACTCGTTTAATATTTATATTTGAGACTTGAATACAGAGCACTCATTGGTCCAAAGTTCAACATTGTATCTACAATCAAATCTTGCCCCAAAGATTGTAAAAAAAAAATACGGAGCAAATTATAGCTCGTATGGAATGTTGATTTGGCGAATCCAAATCAAAATGCGTTTTCAATAAACTGGGGTGCATTTTTTTACACAAAATTTATACAACTTCGCCTCCCCTGTAAAATGAGAGATTGGAAAATCGTACTGTGCTGGAGATCTATACAGTATACACTGAAAACTATTAATACATACAATACTTGGCAGAACCACCAACAAAGAGAAATTGTCAGACATCTCAGATTACTGTCAGGAGAAAAAGAAGAAGAAAAAATTCACAATTACGTCAGCTTTGTCAGAACACAAGCAGGTGTAAAGTAGAATTCTGCATGTCTGGGCGGCCAGTGCTACCTTCTCTCTCATTTCTTCATTTATGCTCAAAATCTATTCGCCATCGGCTCGGTTACAGCCTCCTCAGAAATGAACATAATTTTTTAACTTATTGAGACCTGGGAAATGCAGCTTTGTCGTCAAAATGCTTTAGGTGTGTTCAGGCTGTTACGATATATCGGAAATATGAATCAGCTGTACAACTACATCAGCCGGAAATGCCCGTCGCACGGATCACTTTGCATAAGCTGGGCAACTATGTCATGGCACAGCACAAGTTTACGTAGAATCCTTGTATGTGTGCAGTTAGCTATACTTATATCACTGCATTTGTTAGATTAGGTTCTCATCACCATCAGAGGCCTTTCGTTCTTTGATTTAGCATCAGTGTGCGCTCCACTGTTACATAAGGAAAGCGGGTTTACGGGTGAAGTCTAAGAACGTAGAAGTTCGAAAAATGGACCAGGGCCACGGCACACCTGGGTATGTCGATTGCGATAAGCACAAAGATTGCTACATATGTTATCTATACGGCGTATACACACCCGTACATCGTGTTCTGTTATGTTCGTGCTTGAGATTCTATCAGCCCGCAGACTTCGTCACGCAATGTTTGTATGCACAGTTATGATATGCCAGATTCTGAATCAATCGTGACCTGGATAATCTAATGGCTCTCATTCTAGTCCCGACTAATGTGTTTATATGCAATGTGGATAAATCGTATCACAACAAGTGCTGTCATCTAAATGCAAATTCATGTGTTCGAAATTCCGTTTCTGTGTGTCGCTCAAAGAAAATAACATGCGTAATAGCATGTGCTATAGTATAGAACTGTGCGAGTTATTTAGTACAGTCATATCGAGGGCGTTCCTCACTACGAGCACGATGCAAGATGATAGTGTAGCTTTCCATGCGGTTTTGGGGTTTATTCACGTTGCTGTTCGTGCTTCATACAACCTCAGATGAAACGGGAGCATACGGCAAGGTGTGTAATGTGCTATTTGTGGGTTACCTTACTTTAGCAAGCCAAGCTTTATTTTCTACTTCTGTGATTGTCGACACTAGCAGCTGCAATACAGAAGTACATAAAGAGGTGTTAGAGCCACAGGCATGACTCTACAGGAAATGCAGTACTTTTCGAGCTCCTGCGTTCATACCGGCATTCAATCCGCTCGGTCTATGCCCGATTGCTTCAGTGACGTCGACTCGATTTGCCACCATCCGTTTGGCACATAGTCATACTTTTAATATCTACTGCAATTCTGAATCTGAACTATGCGGTTGCTTGCCGTCGTCTAACTTCCATTGTAAAATTAAGGATGGTTTCCATATCGGACCCCCGTCGCCATAGTCTGAGTAGTATCTGTGTTCACATACACAGTTGTGCCCATTTCTTTCGTTTGCATTCCTTCACTGCCAATCTGCATACGACCCAGTTAACTTCGGCGCCTGTGGTACATGGTTGACAGCTCCCAATTCTTAGAGTGTTCGTTGCTCCCGCACTATACTAGACCTTTTATGCTTCCAGTCTTGGTTTATATCAGTACCATAACAGGCTGAGTTCTGGCTCATACCTCACGAATCTTGGTTCTCATAGTAGCCCAAAAAAAACCTGTAACCTAACCTTGCTGGCATCCTTATCACAGGTTCCACTCCACTCTTCGACGCAAACTGACCAGCCTGGTGAGCCGCACAGGCAATCACTCGCGCAAGAACCGTACACCCCACGGCAGCGATGCACCAGATGTCATCGCTCACCTGTCCCTGGACATTGCCAAGTGGCAGTCGATGGACTTTTTGGCTATGCTACTGCTGGTCGAGCAGTTGCGGGAAATGACTGAGATAGACCGATTCGGTACGTAAGCAAGATACGATCAAGGCACGCGGATATATGTGATGCGAGGGTCGTGATAGGTATTGTCGTGGTAGTGTGTGGCAGTTGATGGGCCTTGTGGTTGTCCTGTTGCCACTAACGCGGTTGTAGTAATGACTGTGATTGCCCAACTTCGTAGGTGTTAAATACTAAATAGGTGGCTACCTCGGAAAAATGAATATGTATTGATATATATATATATGTGTGTGTGTGTGTGTGTGTGTGTGTGTGTGTGTGTGTGTGTGTGTGTGTGTGTGTGTGTGTGTGTGTGTGTGTGTGTGTGTGTGTGTGTGTG